GTCCCGCCCCCCAAACCCCCCCCCCCCATGAATATCCTATCGGACACATATATGATCTACATAGATGCATAGGGGTCAAAAGGTTTAAGAGAACATGATACAGGAATGATTTCCAGTGGAGGCAAGGAAATCCATGCTTGCCACGAGTGAGACGTTCTATATTTAAATGCACTGAAACTCGACTGGCAGGAAGTGCCATAGACCACACATTGATCGACCCTCATTTAATGCAAAATCAGATCTCACTGAAAATGATTTGCTTACTTGTGTGTGTGTGATATTGCCTACTACATAGTAACTTTTGGACTGTCGTACTCGTAATGCCTCTCCGATTTTTTTCGAGATAACTTCAGTTAACATGTGCGAAACATAATGGTTTGGGCTATCACTGCAATAAGATGTATACATGTTTGAATTGCTTGGATTTCTATAGCGTCGATATCAACACAAAGCTTTTCAAACAACGAGATGAACAATTGTCTGGTTGATACAGACGCCTGTTGGCGGCGTGAAAGTGTGTGTGTGGGAGGCGNACAATCCCCTCATCCTACATTCCAGTTAAATGTAACTTTACCAAGGCCACCCCATCACACACACACTTGTGTTTTTTTTTACAACCCCGTCTAAGTGGGTCACCCGTTGAATGCCGGCGCTGAACCCCTCCCCACCAAGCCCTGTCCCTATCTCCCCCACAGTTCAACAGTTCTTTCCATACGTGTACACATCGCTTGTACGCCCGATTTATTGTGTGTACTAAGCTAGACACTAGCAGGACAGGAAGCTGTCTCACGAGGTAAGCCAGTTATTTAGTTTTAAACCAATCTGTGATAAGTCAACAACCATGTGCACAGCTTTTGATAATTCGCCTACTCAAAATGTTCTTATATTTACGAGGATGCAATAAAAATGGTTCATAGTTTAGATTTAACCCCAAAGATTTATGCCACAAACAAACCCCATGCATTTGGGAGTAGAAAGAAAGGTTAAAAAAAAAAATACATTCAACTTTAGACAGTTTTGAATTCCAAAGACAGCGTAGGGCGTAAGGTGTACTTGAACCAATTTCCCCACTCTCACACCGAACTCTAGGCCTAGCAGTGATTTGACAAGAATCTTTTGAGCTCAGTCTTGTTCTTGAATGAATTTACTGGAGTGTCGTCCCTGCTGCCTCGTTAGCTTTAGCTCCGCCCCACAAGTCCCGCCCCACAAACCCCCCCCCCCCATGAATATCCTATCGGACACATATATGATCTACATAGATGCATAGGTGTCAAAAGGTTTAAGAGAACATGATACAGGAATGATTTC